CAACTCGCAGACGTGTAGAAAGATGCCGGCGAGTCGGCGAGTGCACTTTTAGTCGTTCACACGATGCTTTTTCCACTCGCTCAGTAGTTAGCTTGAACCGAATCCTCCGACATCTTTGAATAACATGCGCACAAGCACAAACAACTGTGTTCACACTGGGCTACTTTACACGCCTACTCGCTCAAAAGCTGGCGAGTTGGCGTGTAAAGTAGCGGCAGCGTCAACTTATTCCAGAGCGATTTTACTAGCAGCTTTTGAGCGAGTACGTCGTTCACACTGAGCTATTTTACTAGATGCGTGTAAAAAAGCTTGCATGTAGCTTGTAAACTCGCCCCGTGTGAACGGGGCTTAAGGAAAAATTTGCCTCTCGTCCATTACCAGTGCGGTACGGTGTCCCTCAGGGATCTATTTTGTACCCTTTACTGTTTCTATGTTACCTGAAGGGTTTACCTGAATTGACATGGGACAGAAATAATAAAGTGTGTCTTTATGCGGACAACACTAATGTCATTGTTTCTGCTAACACAGTAGAAAATGTTGAAATGTCATCTTTAATTGGCTTATCTTTATTAATAAAAGACTTTTTAAATAATAAAAATCTTCTTTTAAATTCTACTAAATCAAATTTTGTGTCATTTTCAACTAAGAGAGCGAGAAATGGGACAAGTCCAACAATTTTCATTGAAAAATGAAATCTTGAATCATGTAAATGAAACTAAATTCTTGGGTCTAATTATAGACAAACATTTATCATGGGACAACCATATTGAACATGTTATAAATAAAACATCTAGTGGCATACACACTTTAAGGAAAATGGTCCACTGGTGTAATCTAAAAACCATGAAATCTATTTACTTCGCCCTAATTCATTCTCTTATTGCCTATACGGTATTAGTATATATGGATCAACAACAAAAAAGAACATGGACAAAATTCTCATTCAACAAAAACGTGCATTAAGAATAATGTTTCATCTGAAACGAAAAGTTTCAGTGAAACATATTTTCAAAGGTTTAAAAATATTTACAGTAATCGGCTTATACATTTATGAAAAAATAAAATTTACATTACTCAACAATAACATTTCAATTAGCAACACAACCCATTCGTATAACACAAGAGCTCATCGTTGACCTTATGTTATATTTACCTTATGTGTGACTCTATTCTTTGTAAATGTTACAAGAAACAGAATAAAGATGACATTGAATTGAATAGGTACTCGTTAAACCTAATATATTTAAATAGATTTTTAAATCAATTAAGACGAATGGAAATTAGCTGCGGTAGGGGTATTTTGTTTACATTTTATTTGCTGATGTCAAAACAAACTATTCAATTTATATTACTAGTTAACCGCCCGTGCTCTGCCACGGGAATATTGTCAGCAATAAAAGAAATAATAATTAACAAATACTGTTTATCTTTGTATTTTATTTAGGGGTTGTTTAATTTTTTTACATGAAATAGAACTGATAGTTTGCCTGTATAAGCTATTTTATGTTAATGAAACCGATATATTATTTTAACCAAATGAATGTTTTATATTAATTCGAGTTTCATTTGAAAAATAAATAGTGTACAAACTGGGCAATGCTGATAATCTAATAAGCAGCCATTTATGCTATTTAGATAATTTGCTCAAGTATATTCCTATATTCGTAGTTTTTTTTTTTTTTTTTTTTTTTTTTTTTTTTTTATTACATTTGTTGTATGGAATAAAGATAGTCACTTAGCCTACATGTAAATCACGCATCAGCAGTTGGTCGCGTTTCACGAATCTTTAACCCATACTGTGAGTAAAAGCTGTGTTTACGTCGTATATATAAAGTTGGGCATACTTTGTTCAATGTTAGAGGGTATTAACGGTCCAATTTGATGGAAAAGGAGTCGTGGATTTCAAAGCTATGTAGACTACCACTACCAGAAAGATGTTGATTCAAGTGAGACTTAGAACTGGCCATTTCTAATGCAGATTTGTATTATATTTTACTCAAATAGTTTTTTGTCTCTTTTGACCCTGAATACTTTTTTTATAGTCGCTGTTGATAAGATTTTCCATAAACTCAAAATGTTGATAAGGAGTTCATTTTACCTTCACCTTGTGACAACATAAGGAAATAATATTTGTGTCCCAGTTAGTCTGTTCTCACTCAAAATTCATAGATTTGCAGTACTGACAAATCCAATCTAACGACCCCAATTCAAAAAAATTGGTATTTTTTAGAAGGGACTTCCAGAGCACATTTAACACCATCACTGCTCTTTACCTTTTTAGTTCGGTGGTTCTCTAGATGTTTTTTTTCGTTCTGTATGTCTCTTTACGCCCGGTTAATGATTACCTTTTCTTTTTCTTTTTGTACTTTTCACATCCTGGGGTTAATGATAAAGTTGGATAACGCCCGAGTCAACATTGCCATATTAAACATCAAGTCAGATACTTCTTCGCCATAACCGAAATCGTAAGTCACAGTTTCTCAACCAACTTCCCTGTGTAGGCCTACTCGAAAAAATATAGTTAGGGTATCGTTCACTGATAAATTGTAGTTCCAAATATCCCAGCGTTCTCGCCATCTCGAAAAGATAAAATTTGGACGTCGAACACTGATCTTGAGTAAGATTAATCACTTACGATAAAATGTTTGTATGTTTACCAATCATTAGCAATTATCTGTACAACTTGCAAGCGGATTTCCCTATGATTGTTCTGGTGGCTATAGAGAATAAATTACATTGATCAAAACAATAAGTTTCCGTCCCCTACTATGGGTATTATTTCACATTCCATACTCAAACTTAAACTCAATTACCACTTTCCTTCAGATCACTTTGCAGGAAAACTAAAACATTTTTGTGTCCCAATTAGTCTGTTCTGACTCAAAATTCATAGATTTGAAGTAGTGACAAAGCCAATCTAACGACCCCAATTCAAAAGAGTTGATATTTTTTGTAGGGAGCACATTTAACACCAACACTGCTCTTTACCTTTTTAGTTCAATGGTTCTCTACATTTTTTCCGTTCGGTATGTCTCTTTACACCCGGTTAATTAATCTTTTCTTTTTTTGTACTTTTCACACCCTGCGGTTAATGATAAAGTTTTATAACACTATAATGACCCGAGTCAACATTGCCATTAAACATCAAGTCACATACTTCTTCACCAGAACCAATGGTAAGTCACAGTTTCTCAAGCAACTTCCCTGTGTAGCCTACTTGAAAAAAATCACTGATATATTGTAGTTAAAACCACGTATCCTAGCGTACTCGCCATCTCGAGAAGGTAGAGTTTGGTACCACTGAACGTCTAACACTGATCTTGAGTAAGATTCGTCACCTACTATTAAATGTTTGTATGTTTCCCACTCATTAGCAATTATATGTACAACTTGCAAGCGGATTTCCCCATGATTATTGTGGTGGCCGTAGAGAATAAATTATATTGATCAAAACAATAAGTTTCCGTTCCCTACTATGGGTATTATTTCACATTCCATACTCAAACTTAAACTCAATTACCACTTTCCTTCAGATCACTTTGCAGGAAAACTAAAACATTTCAAAAATAAGTTAACAAATACACTTTCCTTGATCAAAATCGTGTGTTTATAAACAGAAACTCCAAGTTTAATAATTGCATACTGAAAGTGAGGTTATAAAAATAATAACAAATGTCTGAAAAACATTAAACAGCTGACGAATAATTTATAAACTGTGTATTAATATTCTTCAATAAGAATTGTCCTTTAAAGGGCTGTAGGTCGTAGCCCTTAGAAAAAACTTAAATTCTAAGGAAGTTCGGCAAATCTACACACTATCCCCTTTAATTTGAGGCATAAATCTTGTAGATCGGTCCAGTAGTTACTGAGAAAACAGTGTTACAACTGTGTATTAAATATATAGATTTTATCTTTGCAATGATCCTTTTTCCACAGCCTCTTCAAAAAGCTCCAATATAATTTAAATTAATGTAAAGGGTCATTTTAGCTCGTAGGGAAGTCACGGCTTCAGCAGTAGTAATAAAACACAAAGCTATGTTGAGGAAAAACAACTAGAAAGTTAATAAAAATCAAATTTCTACAAAAAATATATATTCAGATGTAAACAATTTATTTTAGCGAATTTCCCATACACAGAATAAGCTATTACCATAGTACTAATGGTAAGACCTGGATCCAGGACCGTTTTAATTTTTCCGTTTTGAGGTCCCTAGAGGCCAAAAACACCATCCATTCAAATTAATATATATATATACTGTATATATTTATGTGTCCGTATATGTGTCCGCGCGATAACTCAAGCAAAAATGATCCGATTTTAATTAAATTTGGTGCAAATGTGTAAAACTACGTTTATTCAAAAGAGTTCCCGAACCACCATTATCGGACCATGGGAACAGGTTTTTATGGGGGCCTTATGGAGTAAAAATGGAATTTTCCCATTTTTGACCCTAAAATAAAAAAAAATTTATCTGTTTTTTAGAGCTCAAAAAAAGAAATAATTTACCGGTAGTATATTGAAGCGCTGTTGTATGCCTAACGGTCACGTAGAAAATAAAAAAATATTTTAATTTAAAATTCCCGTGTTATTCTTAATATTTTTTATGGAGAAAATGAAAACTGTTGTAGTTTACTTGTTTATGGATATACATTGATAAAATTTGGCAAATTTATTTATTTCATCCTATACTATTGACGTATGGTCCAAAAACAAAAAATTACCTTCTCCGTAGCAGCAAACCTAAGCACTCGTTAAATCTAATGTTACTTAAATTGGGAATAAATATGTCTTATTATGGAAATATTTGAGTTTGAGTTTTTTGCCGAAGCAATCTTGACACCTACAAGCATTGGTCCACCCGATGTAGATTAGAGTAAAAATATAATCAGACAAGAGGAAATTCGCTTAGTCGGCAGGTTTGCTGCGGTGGGGGTATTAAGTTATTTTGACAGAAGTACTGTAATTTTTAAAAATAAATAACAATTTAAGACAAAATTACCTTTAGTCGGTTACTTCCAGTTGGGGGTTCAGCAAATCGCACTCCAATAAATGATAATATCGGTTTCCCAGTCCAAGATTTTACTATTTTCCCCCTAAGCTTCCCTTGAGCCGTGTGAACGATAGGCGCATGTTGAGCAAATGCGGCAACAATGGAAACAAATAAAAACACTAACAAAACCAAAAGTGTCTTCATCCTTCCTGTATTGACAGACTTCTGTTTTGAAGCGCAGTAGAGTTTGCAATTTATATTCTGGTCTTATCACATCTGCAAACTCGTTAAACGAGATTTACTGTTCTTAGAATGGTTACAACCAACCTGGGCCATCCCGAGTATAATGGACTGTTGCCATTTCCTCATTGAGTGAGGTTAAGTGTTCAAATGTTCTTGGTAAACCCCAATGGTTAGTATGCAACAATGCAACAGACAAGACCTGTGATTATGTGGATTGTTTATCCAGAGGTCACTGATTGTCACAGTTAGATACTAATCATGTAAGTGAAAACAATACAGAAAGATGGAGAAGTGGTGTTATTTGGTTGGAAATAAACCATGTGTATTTACTTTTTATTGATTGTGTGACACAATAAATTGTAAAAAAATATACCAACAAGTTGTTTTGCCCGTCGTTCGCAACGGGGCAAGGATACTTAGTAGAATAACGTGGGTCTCTACAAAAAAAAAAAAAAAAAAAAAAAAAAATGCCTTTGACACAGCAAACCTGCAGACTAAGCGAATTTCCATTTACCTGATTGGATTTACACTAAAATATCTCCCTAAAATATTACATTTTATTCCCTATTTAAATAGCATTAGTTTAACGAGTACTTAGGTTTTCTGCAACAGGAAGTGTTAAAAAGTGTTCTTTTGTAACATTTTAATATGTAGTTTTGTATGCAATAAATGCATTTCAAAATTTAATAAAAATATGTTCATAAACAAGCAAACTACAACAGTTTATACTTATTCTCCATAAAAACAACATGGGGATTTTAAATTCAGAATTTTTTTAAAATTTCTTTGTAACCATTAAGCGCATAATAGCGCTTCAATATACTGTACTAAATAATTTGTTTTTTAAGCTCTACCGAATTGGAAAGAAATTGTGAACCTTTATGTTTTTAGGGTAAAAAATGGGAAAAACCAATTTTCATCCCATAAAACCCCGTTCCCATCATGCTTTTTCGCGTGCTCGTTCAAATAAATGTAGGTTTACACATTTATACCAAGTTTCATCAAAATCGGAGCATTTGTTATCGTGCTAACGGACACATGTATATGAATTTGAACGGATGTTGTTTTTGGCCTCTAGGGACCTCAAAACGAAAAAGTAAATCGGTCCCAGATCCAGGTCTTACCATGAGTACTACGGGGAAGGTATGGGGGTTTAGAGAGTGGGATAACCTTTTGCGCCGTTCCGGCCAAACCTCGCATGCGGGGTTGGTCCGGCAGATTGGCCACACTTAAACTTCAACTCTCACTTGTTAGGTGCGGAGAGCAACCTTCTGACACTGGGTGTTGGTCCACCTACAGAACCAAGTGAAGGAGGCCCTAGACTAACGTGTAATGTGATCCGTGCTGAGAGTCTCGTGGCACTGTGGGCCTAATGTCTTAATTAATGGAGCCTTCTGGGAACCAGGGGGAACCCAGTCGTATGTACCCCTTACCTCTCTACTCGGGTCACTGGAAAGGTGGACCTTAGATACCCGGTATTCGAGGGAACAATGTAGACGATCTGACCCCAATGAATGAGGAAGGTGTACTGAAATCTGGCCCTGGGTACCAGTCTTGCGATAATCGCGCAGCGACTGAAGCTCAGAACCTCAAAAGAGTGCAGTTCACTCCTAGCAATGGCGGGTGCTAAAGCTAGCTGCGCTCCAAAGCTGTTTTTTAGAATGGAAGACGATCAAAAGTTAATTCACAATGAAACAAAACAAAATGTAATATGAAAAAAGAAACTTTGCATTGTCATTGCGCAAATGGTTGTCCGTTCTTGGAACAGTCAAGACCTCGTCTTTTAACTCCTCACTGAGGAGATACTTTAAAAGGTTGCATCGCGCACTCATGAGTTCACTATTGTGAGCGCTGGTATTCAACTAACTATGAAAAATTGCGCGGCCACCCAAAACCAATCGTTCTAAGAAAAACTGCTGCCGCAACAGCGATAGTAGCTGAGCAATAATCTCTGTGTGGCTATCGTTACAGTCGTTTCAAGCAAAATGGTCCTTTAAAGAAATGTTAAAAGCGAGTTTGGTACACTTGATTACAAATGATAGTGAATACAATTTGATAATTAGACACAAATTTAATACCTAACTCATTGGAATCTCAACTCAAAAACAAACAATAATAAAAATAAAATAAAAACAATTAAGAACAGCTGATAAAGAAAAAGGTTTTACAGTAACTCTTTTTTAACACAGCATTGTTGTTAGAAAAGTTATTGTTGAATCTCTTTGAACAGACATAGAAATTAATCATACTTTGAAAATTGGGATTAGAGTTTAAGTTAGTATATAAGCGTTAAAATTAGTGTACACAATTTTAAATCACACCAAACGTTATTTTTTTAATGATCATTAAAATGAGGGATCACAACATGGTTCTTTACATTTTAAAATTTTGAGTTGTCCCCTATCTACCCTAAAAGGGGGAGGGGGCAACATTTTGATTTCTTGCAAAAGGCTAGAAAAGTCATCATATTATCATAAGTTGAAGTTGCAAGATTTTATCGTAAGCCGTTTAGTTTATTTTTGGGTGTGTTAAGACTTTTAGCGAATTTCCCTTATAGGGAATAAGCTATTACCGTAGTCCTCATGGTAAGACCTGGACCCGGGACCGATTTACTTTTTCGTTTTGAGGTACCTAGAGACCAAAAACACCATTCGTTCAAATTCATATATATATATATATTTATATATGTGTCCGTTAGCGCAATAAGAAAATAACTTGAGCAAAAATCATCCGATTTTGATGAAATTTGGTACAAAAGTGTAAATCTACGTTTATTCGAACGAGTTCGCGAACCAGCATGATCAGACTATGGGAACAGAGGTTTATAGGGGGTTTTATGGGGCAAAAATTGGTTTTTCCCATTTTTGACCCTAAAAACTTAAAATTTAGCATTTTCTTTCCAAACCATTTTGTAGAGCTTTAAAAAACAAATAATTTAGTATATTGAAGCCTTATTATGCGCCAAATGGTTATGGAGAAAATTCCCAAAAACTGTAAATTAAAAATTCCCATGTTATTCTTATGGAGAATAAGTAAACTGTTGTAGTTTGCTTGTTTATACTAAACTATTAACATTTTACAAAAAAAACACCTTTTTACCCTCCCTGTTGCAACAAACGTAAGTACTCGTTAAACTAATGTTATTTAAATAGCGAATAAATGTGATATCTTTAAGGAGACATTTTAGTGTAAATCCAATCGGGCAAATGGAAATTTGCTTAGTCTGCAGGTTTGCTGCGGCGGGGTATTTTAACACTCTGTATATATAGATTTACTTATCTATATAATTAATACGCTACATGAAACTTTGTCGGTTTAACTCCTCCCCGCCATTTCTTAACCGATTTTATCCATTGACGTCTCATTGGAAAGAGCGTGTGGCGTAGATTTTCAAACTGATCTTATATTTTTTTAAAGCCCCTCGGGCTCTGCCCCAGTGGCTGTTAAAGTTCCCATGTTATCCTTATGAAGAACATAATTGTTTACATTTTGATCAGCTGTATAAATAATTCAATTGCTTTTATTTATTTTTCAAATCAATGAAACGCATTGGAATTTGATATATTTTACCAAATTAAAAAAAAATGAATTGACATAGTACTATATTTCTTAAGAAATCATTGAAAGAACCGATTTGTTAACCATGGAAACATAGCAAGGTTTCCGCCACCAAGTAGAAGAAATATAGAGATTTAAAAAAAATTACCACACACCTACAGCTACCTACTTTGTATGGTCGCCATTTAATAAGAATAAAGTATAAATATGAAGATTCCCACAAATAACGTACAAGGATGTTGGCCAAAGTGCTACTATTTTGTAGGAAACATGGGCATGATGATTGGCAAAGGAAACCCATCTAAGTCTGAATTAAACTGGTACAACAAGGACATTAATCATTTAATAAATATATGTTTTAATAAAAAGTCAAGTGATTTTAAAAGAATGTGACTAGATCCAAGAAACCTTAATAAAACTCCCATTGAAGAATTCGCATTATTCACATTTAAGGGAAACAAAAAACCATCTGAACGGCGTTAGGTCTTTCAATTCTGCATTTTTTCAGGTAAATATAATTTACGATATAACAGTAACCAGCCAAATGAATGCCAATTGATGCAAATAAAATTACGACAGAGAGGTTATGCAGAAAATCAGGTAGTTCTTAGTCGTGTAAACAAAATGTTATCGCTAAAAAAAATCTACTGAAATTTGTAAACGTACTGGTGACAATGGGTGGTACCATGCAGACTACATTATCATTGAGGAAGATCAACATGGAAAACCTAATACGGCTATAAGTGGGAAACATTTAAAAACCAGATCAGCTTTTGAAAAATGGTAAAATATTTACAAGAAATGTTGATTATATGGAACTGTTAGGTACATAATCTATGAGTTGAATCTTTTAAACTTATCGGGAATTATGATGACTTTAATTTTTTTTTTATAACTACGTACGTCTTTGCAATTGCTTGATTTCGAGCAACGTATACACTAGTGCTAAATTATTGCAAATATGGTACCGGTACTCACAAAACGCTTGTAATTGAGATGGAATATAAAAAAGTACTAAATTACCTTAAGGGATATACAAAAACCCGCCCTTATTGTTTTGTCTTCACTCTATCACCCTAATGACGGGATAGTTTGTTGAATGATAACCTAATAAAACCTGACGTCATTAAGAGTACAGTACCTATTAACTTTCTCATCAGGCTCAACAAAAACTATATTTGCCAAAGATACATGTAATATTGATTTTTAAGATGATTAAAAAATTGGTTATCATAAATTTAAAAAAAATAATTTTTAAAGCTTTTTTTGCTTTAGTTTTTTTATAAATGATAAATGATTTGTATATTATATGAAATGATTTATGTATACGGGTCAAATTTTAAATTAAAGTTTTCCTTCAACTAACCCATAACACGCTTTACAAATCAATCATGATTAACTCATAACAGTTTAATAGTACACTTATTACAGTTATTATCTTAAATATACATTTAACAACAAACTTGGTTCTGCTTTAGCTTAATATTTTAACTGCAACACTTATCTTAAAACCCT